AAATAATATATAGTTGGGGGACCTATTCATAGTTCACATGTGTAGACCTATTGATAGTTCACATGTACATACCTATTGATAATACATCTGGTGGACCTATTGACAACTCACATATGTAGATCCATCGATAATATACATGAGAATGACCTACAGGTACTCAGGTAGTTGATTAGGAACTTAGGCATGACACACATTAGTAGTGACGTGGATGGTTACCTAAAAAGGTTCTAGATCACCTTAGAGATAAGATTGGGTTTCGAGCAGACTTTGGGAGTAGCAAGATAACTGTTAGGAAAACATTCGGGTAGTTAGGACACCCAAAAAGTAAGATCGGACAGACGTCGAGCAGCTAGAGTATCCGGGTAATAGAATTGGGTAGATCTTGAGGAACAAAACAATTGTTTACTGTGTATAGGTCTAAGGTATGAAAGGGTAAGGGGTATACTCTCTAAATTCACAATATACTTACATACTTTATCCTCTTTCATAATCTGAGTATTGACTTTATTGTCAGATGTCAACCACAAGGAACAATTCTGTCGTGTTTTAGAGGATAATCTTGAGGTCAAACCGATTCAAGGTCACTCGAAGAGTGGTTCGTGGAGGCATTTCATACGAATTGACGACGTCTATGGGGAATGTACCATTTCTCTACCATTTTCGAAGGAGCACAAGTCGGAGAAGACGACGATGGCCGACAGGAGCTGAAGAAAGAACCTCAATGACGACATGTACGAGGCTTGGGTGATCAAATCGCCTTTTGGAGCAAGACCGTCGGTAGGGTGGTCAAATGTAGCAGCTCTTTGTTTACTCTCAGGATGAGCTTATCGGGGGAGAGTCACGTCTTGACACGGAGGGAGATCTAGTGAACTTATGTATGGTCAAGGGAAAAGAAGTTCTCGTCCGAGGAGGGGGAGGGGGTGGGGGAGGGGAGAGGAGAGAAGGGAGCTTCATCAAAGCAACAAGTTGTGGTGGTTACGAGCGAACGAGAGGTTATTCCATGAGGTATGATGAGAGTTGTGAGGTCCTAAAGTGCTCAGATGGACAAATCGAAAGATCAAGAGGGAAAAGTTAGAGGTGTGAAGGTCATACAACTAGCGAAGACGAAGCTAGATTGGATAATCTCGAAGGCGATAGGTAGGGCACGAAACCCCTAACCCAAACCTATTGGTGGAACAATCCAAACTTGCGGTTTTTGGAAGTAGGCGACAAGATGATGGGGAAAGAGTCAGTCGCGTCTCCCAGTGGTAAATATGCAGCCACGAGACGTGACTTTAGAGCGGATGGAAAATCAAATCAGGGAGCTCCAAGCTAAGGTGGATAGAAGGAGACAACCCCGTGTCCAGGGTCATCCTTTCTCTAATGAGATGTTGGATAACGATTTACCTATCAACTTTAGATTTACCTATCAACTTTTGAGAACTGAGCAAGATGTATGACGGGTCTATTGATCCAACTAGGCATTTGCGTACTTTTTAAGATGTATCGATGTTGCACCGGTATAATGATACAATTTTTTTCGGTGCCTTTTTGACAACTTTGAAAGCCTCATCCCAAGATTGATTTCATTAGTTGCCTTGCAGGGTCGACCTATAGCTTTGATGTGTTAAGCTAATTGTTCATCAACCACAATTCTCTACTGCAAGGAAGTACGATAAGACCTATCTCAGGTTGGTCAACACGCAACAACATGAGAATGAATCCTTGAGAGAGTATGTTTCTAAGTATGCACAGGCCTGCGTGGAGGTCCCACCAGTTTAAGAGGAGATCAAGGCGGGAGGTTAGACAGAGGCTTTAACCAGGTCATTGTCGAAACTTGTTGGCCAAGAAGCCTGTTAGGTCATATGATGTGTTGCTGGAACTTTGCTCTAAGTACATTAATATAGAGATGGCAGAGGTGAAATTTTTACAAAATGAACGGGTCAAAATGAAACGATCAAAGGAGAAACAAAGACCTGATGAGGGGAGATCGGGATGAAGAGATAATAAAAATGAAGACAAAGGTCGTATGGGGTTTAAGGGGAGATACTGGGATACTAGGGAAGCCCCAACCTCTACCTAAGAGAAATGGACAGGTCCTAGTATGAGGAGATTCATATTTTAGGTATATGAGGATAAATGGTCACCCTACCTAAGAGAAATGGGCTGGTCCTAGTATGAAGAGATTCATATTTTAGGTATATGAGGATAAATGGTCAGGTCCTAGTAGAAGGTCCTATGGGTTTAAGTATGTTGCTCTAAGTACATTGATTGTCTGATTTTTCACGTAAAAAACTTAGACAAATGACATGTATCTACCTGAGTTGTGGATATATATGTATATATACCATCATTATTACTACTCGCGAACTGTAAGATTTAATTGTTAAACTTTCATTTCTTGAAACAAAAAACAAATAAAAAAAATAACAAGAGTAAAATCTTTATATTTCGATCGCAGCGAAAAAAAAAACTAGGCACCTTTATGGAAAAATGGATGAATTACACGCAATAAGCAGATCGTGATATGCTTCCGTCGCTTGGAGTGGAGGGAGGGTGAGGAAGATGCTTGCTACAGAGTGTTTTTTAAAGAAGTACACGAAGGCCCTGTGTTCGATTCCTTGTGGCCATAATTGCATGTTCCCTGAATCGCACGTTGAGTTATATGCCTTAAATAAGGAGTATTGTATTTCCCAAGTTCGGGGAAAAATTCAGTGGCTCAGAAATTATATCGATGAATTTCAAGTTTTATGTTGATTCCAGAAGTCCGAATCATATGGTGAAGCTTGCCTTATTAACTAAATATCAATTCCAGAAGTCTGGGTGCGTGGTGAAGCTTGTCTTGTTACATAAAATATATTGACTAATCGACATAATCATGCATGAATTACTCCTTTCATAAATTAACAACTGATTTTTATAACAGTGTTTAATTCGACAGTTTATTAATTACAACAAAAATTAAAATCACAACCGCAACCAAACTTAGTATGAATTACTCCTTTTCATTAATTAACAACTGATTTTTCTTACATAATGTTTAATTCGACAGTTTATTAATTACAACATTAATTAAAATTCAGTCGTAACCAAACTAGTTAATCTAACATATTCAACATATACGCAATTTAAACTTTAAATGTTGAATTGATCTCTCCCGTAACTCTACAACATTTTCTCTCTCCCGCACCCAAATTACCCTAGTTCGCAACCCTTAACCCTCATCCATAGGCGTTGCACTTTCACAGTAAGACCGGCACTAGGGTCGCGACTCCTCTCAGACGTGATTTTGCTCTCTCGACCGGCATGGCGCATAATCTTTTGCGGTGGGCTATATGGCAGATTCTTGTGTAGCGTGGACTTGTACCAGAGGTTGCTCAACGACAGCGCCTCTGCCACGTTGTGGTGGAGGGGCTGAGGTCGATGGTGGCCTTGGCCCCTCTTTCCTTCTTCTTTATGGCGCGAGGAGAGTTCTCTAGCGGGAGCGGTCGGAGCCGTGCTCGTCGGATTGAGTGGGGGCCGAGGGTAGCGTGGGTTGTTGGTGTTTGTCCCGGTGGTGCTGCCTTTGGGAGAGGTGTTGGTTTGACGACTCGGCTCGAGAGGTTTGTAGTTTTTTGTTCTCGTGGATTCCTTTCTAAGATGTCCACTCATCTTATTCGGCCTTTTGGCTCCTAATTTCGCCTGCTATTGGTTGATATCAGTTTTGTTTTAATGTGTAGTGTGTTCTATCTATTAATTCCTATTGTTGAAAAAAAAAAATTGCATCGATCATTCATTATTTGCACACAAATCTAGACAACCTCCGTAACATTATTAATTAATATATCCTATGCGCCGAAAACAATGAAATTTTTTAAAAAAAAAAAAAACATTTGTCAACCAACGCCCCCTTTTGAAAATATCTTAGCTTCCAAAGCTGTTTTTCCACGCAATGGCGATTGACCCCCACAAATCCCCAAGTGAAAATATCTATTTTCACCCCGTTTTGAAGTCTTGATAAGTTTTTCACACCGCCCAATAAAAAGCTAAGTTTTTCATCCCAGAAAGTGCGAAGGTTATGCGAAAACTGTCACATATTCATCGCATAACTGTCCATATGCGAAGGATATGCGAAAAACTGTCGCATAACTGTCGCATATCAATTGCATAATTGTGCAAAGGCATTGTGCGATAAATATGCGACATTTATGCAATTGATATGCGACAGTTATGCGGCAGTTATGCGAAAAACTGTCGCATAACTGTCGCATATCAATTGCATAATTGTGCGAAGGCATTGTGCGATGAATATGCGACAGTTATGCAATTGATATGCGACAGTTTTTCACATAACCGTCGCATATGGACAGTTATGCGATGAATATGCGACAGTTTTCGCATAACCTTCGCACTTTTTGGGGTGAAAAACTTAGCTTTTTATTGGACGGTGTGAAAAACTTAATATGTCTTTGTTATGGGGTAAAAAAGATTTTTTTTCCCAATCCCCAATATCCAATTCATACTAGTATTCGACCTTTGCATTTGCAAATATATATAAATAAAATATTGTGAGTTATTTGTATGCATATAATAATTAATATTTTTTGCCAAATTTACAATTAAAGGAGTTGAAATACTTATTTTTTTAAATCACGTTATTATATTGGATGTAATGTATATTTTGTAATGTATCTTTCTTTGAGAATTATTTATTATTTATTTAGAAATTTCAAATATCTTTTTTCTTTTTATTTTCGAAAAGAAGTTATTTTAAATGTAACCACAACAATAACATCTAATCACGTTAAATAGTCAACACATTATATGGTCAGATGTAAAAAAATAAAAAATTTAAAATGATTTTTGCAATTTTGAAGTGATTAATGTGTTGATTATCTAATAATTAAATTAGAGATTAAATAAATACTTATATTGTCATATAAGTATAATTTAATATGTTTTATTAAATGCTCATTGCTAATTATAGATTAGGAAGATTCACACTTCAAATCCCCCACAAATCTATCATCAATAGCCAAGAGATGATGATCCCATTGAAGCTAATTCCTGTTCTAGCAACAGTTTTCCATTTCCTCGTCCGATCCTTGTCCGCATCGCCGGTCGCCATTACTGTGAGCTCGAGATCCATTCCCAAATCCAGCGACCCGATCACGATCCGATGGTCCGGCATTGACTCCCCGTCGGAGCTCGATTGGCTTGGAATCTACTCACCTTCGAACTCCTCGCACGCGGACTTCATCGGCTACATCTTCCTCTCGTCCTCCCCCGGATGCCAGTCCGGGTCGGGCTCCATCACGATCCCGTTGATCAACCTGAGATCAGATTACCAGTTCCGGATCTTCCACTGGACGGAGTCGGAAATCAACCCGAAAAAGCAGGACCACGATCACAACCCACTGCCGGGGACCAAGCATCTCCTGGCAGAATCGGAGACGATCCGATTCGAACCGGGCCGCGGGCCCGAGCAGGTTCATCTGGCGCTGACGGGCCGGGATGGGGAGATGCGGGTCATGTTCGTGACGCACGACGGGAAAGATAATTCCGTGAGGTACGGTTTGGCCCGGGATAAACTGATTCGGGTCGTGAATACCCGGGTATCGAGGTATGAAAGAGAAGATATGTGCGATTCGCCGGCCAATGAGAGCGTGGGGTGGAGGGACCCTGGGTTTATCCATGATGGTGTGATGTTGGATTTGAAGGAAGGAAAGAGGTACTATTATCAGGTAATAACTATTCCGATCATTAAAATTTAAGGCTAATTATGAAAGATAAGCCTAATTAATGGAAAGATTCAGTTTTGTTTATTCAGATGCCAGCATTTCAGTTGTTACTTTTTATGCACCACTTTGATCTTTAGACCTCTGCAGCTCTGCTGTCAGAAACTTTGCATGTTAATTGTTATTATGATTAAGGCCCACAAATTATAGAGAAGATAATGAATGTTACCCTCAATTGTTGCCCTGTCCTTATAATATAGTCTTCCAGCTTCTTGACAAAGTCCCTTGTTACATGTCGATTCACGACACTTGACTGCTCTTATGTTAACATTTCTACATGGCAGGTTGGTAGTGATTCCGGTGGCTGGAGCTCCATATACACCTTTATATCCCCAATCAAGGACTCAACCGAGACAATAGCCTTCCTATTTGGGGACATGGGGACCGCCACACCCTACTCGACCTTTGTCCGCATTCAGGAAGAAAGCATCTCGACCATCAAGTGGATAAACCGGGACATCGAGGCCATTGGCGACAAGCCCGCTTTGATCTCGCACGTAGGGGACATAAGCTATGCCAGGGGCTATTCTTGGCTTTGGGACAATTTCTTCAACCAGATCGAGCCCATTGCCTCCAGAGTACCGTACCACGTTTGTATCGGCAATCATGAATACGACTGGCCGTCTCAGCCTTGGAAGCCCGACTGGTCCTACTCGATTTACGGAAAAGATGGGGGCGGGGAGTGTGGGGTCCCCTACAGCCTCCGGTTCGTCATGCCCGGAAATTCATCCGAGCCCACAGGCATGCGGGCCCCACCTACCCGAAACCTCTACTACTCGTTCAACATGGGGGTGGTGCATTTCGTTTATTTATCGACCG